CCCCTTCCTTTCCCTCTCCTCTCCCCGCTTTTTCCTGGCTTTAAATCCCAGACTTGCCCTGGGCTTGTGCCAAAGCCTCACTTACACTGTCATGTTTTTTTTTTTTTAAAGCAGCTCCGCTCTGCGCTCTCTGCCGAGTGTTTGCATATTTGCTACATAAATAAGTGGGGAAAAATGTGTGTGTCCAAACAGATCTTTGCAATCCAGTTGCTCTCGTACTTGTGTACCCAGTATGCACTACCCAAGTCCCTCAGTGTAGCCAGGTTGGCCATCAGTGTCATGGGTACCCTGCTCACAGGTCAGTGAACTGTTTTCTTTCTTTAGCTGAAGCCTCCTTTACTCACTTTACGTCTTTTTAATTACTTTTGTGTCTCCATTGTTGGATTTTCTCCCGGCAGACTCTCTGTTTACTGTAACTCACAATGCATTACATTATATCAGCTGTTGTCACACATCGTGTCTTGATGTCTGTATCCCTATATTTGGCTGCCACCATCTGGCCTTTGGCTGTCAGTGCAGCATTCTCCATTACGTAAGCGCACAGTGTGTGCCAGCCTATTAGCCACTGTATTTAGTGTGTGTGTTCTGTGTTGTAGTGCTGACTCGTCCCAAGCGCTTCTCCTTCTTCATGCCCATCCTGCCATGCCTGGTGTCCTTCTGCCAGGCCTTTCCTCCGCTCTATGATGATGTCGCATCTCTGCTCGTACAAGTGGGCCAGGTCTGTGCCTCCGATGTGGCCACCAAAGCCAGAGACATCGACCCTCTCATCGCCCGTGAGTATAGTTCACTTGGGTGGCTTTTCATTAGAATACCATTAGTGACAATTCCTCTTAGTATGTGTGTTGTATACATCATAGACATCATCACATGGGGACAGTGAGCAAAATTAGCTTTGACTCACCGGCCAAGGGGACTGGTAAAAAAAAAAAAAAAATCCACCAGCCAGGCATATTTTCTACCAGCCAAAATAACGAGAGTAGAGAGAGTTTAATTTATCTCGAACATGCATATTTTACTGCCTGAAATGTTTGCATATCAGTTATGACTTTAGTATCTGATTATTTAAATATGCTGCAGTAGAGACCTGTTAAACAAGAATATTATGGAGTTTGCTGGTAACAACTTGGTTTAATTCTTAAAATAGAATTTTTACATGTGAAATAAATGGGATATTTTTTATAATTTTAGCATCTACTTATTAAAATGATGTAGTGAAAGTACAATAAAGTGATGACAGACGTATTTCAACAAAGGAAAATAACGTTCACAGCCATTCGAGTTTACATTTCTGAGTTTACGAGGTGCACTGAAATGCACCACAGTAGGCACCCACACACTTTGCCCTACAAAGCTAAGTAGATTTCAGAGTTTGAGGTGCACCTGAATGCACCGTGAAGTCCCTGTGATTGTCACTTGTCTCCGACACTGACATACAGTAGGACAGAAGCAGTGTGACTGTAAAAGACATCACAACGAGGCAGAGACTCCCATTGTTTGGGGTTTTTTTTATTACATGACTTAGTTGCTACAAACATTTACCCGCCACTCACCACCTCCTCGGTAAGTGGTTATTACCAAATAACAGAAACCCTGTTCTTGAGCCAACATTTAAATTTTACTGCATAATATAGCTGCACACTTAACTGAACCTAAAGTAGGCCTGCATTACACCTGATGAAGCTAATCAAACCAAGATCGATGCATTTCTAATTTAATAAAAAGAACTGCTTCCATGGTTAGGGAAAAGGACACAATGCCAATACTGGGAGTGGTTTCCCACGGGCAATGATTAAACTTCGCCCCTGCAACGTTGGACATGTTTCTTATTTTACAAAAGAAAAGAAAAGAGAGTGACGGCCCTGTTAATATAGCTTGTGTTCTTGTTTTTTCCGTGCCCTTATCCTGTGAGGTTATCTTGAATAATAATCTAAACTTTAAAAGGTAACAATTTGGTATCCACCTTATCCGCCTACTTCTTTCCAAGAGCAGTTGGGGAAATAAAACGTGGAACACACCACCTGTTGTAGCTCAAACTGGATTATGTGATCATACCTCTGCCATCTCTGACAGCCATCTCAAAGCATTGTTTTTTTTCCCTTTTCAACTGAGCACGCTAGCAATTAGCTCGCCTTGTTCTATTAAAATATTGTTAAAGTTGACATGGCCTGAGCTAGCCTAAGGTAAACATCTGCTCCACCAGTGGTTTAAGTAATTACATTAATGAGAAGTTTGTTACTTTGCTGCCTCAGGTCTGCAGAATCTGAAGGAGAGGCCTCAGGCGGCTGTGGCTCCAGGAGGAGGTTCCTCCAAGCTGACATCTCCCCAGAGGACAGCAGAGGACATTGGTGGATCTGACTCTGATGTCCAGCTCTGCTACTGTGTGGAGGCCACCTTCATGGACATCATCAGCTCCACCCTTCATGGACTATAGACACACATACACATAGAGGAAGAGGAGGGACTGGACTGAAACCAACAACCCTAAACACTGCCTCGGTACTCCTGAGAGGGCCACTGTCAACACACATCCATTCATCTTTAACAAATAGACTCCGACTGATGTCACCTTTTGTCAAGGGCTTTGAGACTTTGTGAGGTTGTGGGTTACAGTCATTCTCTAGTCTGTTTGGTCTAGAGTAAAGCAGAATGCTGAAAAATCCATTCCCAAATATTTGGCACCCTGTAAATAAATCATTATTTGCAGGTTATTTAGAATATGTATGTGCTCTGAGTTTGTGGAAATTAAAATACTGAAAATGTTAAATGGGTCCATTTTCTTGACCTCTATTGGCATATTTTTCTAAGCTGTAAGTGACCTTTTCTCAGCAACTGAAAAAAGAAAATGTTGCCTTGAAATAATATGTAGAGCTTTTGTACTGTGTGTGTTTTTAATAAAACAAAGAAGTCCTTTCATTGATGAGGTGTGTTTGGGACAAAGGGGAAACATTTGGGTTCACATGTTTGTCATTTACGAGTTTGTGTGGTGTCCATCCTCCAGAGAGGCACTCAAAGACACTTTGCATTAGTTAAAAATGATAAAATAGAATACAGTGAAATACACACGACATCATTCACACATTAAAATCCGTACTGAAAAGATGAGTTTTGAAGAGTGATTTGAAACAGGAGAGGTCGGTGTGGTCTCAAAATCCAAATCAAGAATCCAAAAACGTCAGGGATCCACGTTTAACATCAGTATAAATATATCAAAACCTTAGTGTACCAAAATCACACTATTTCACAAGCTAACTAACTGAGGTTGTGGCAGACCAGTAACCCCCTTATTCAGCCAGGTAAAATCACTGTTTTTGTCAAAGAGAGTATAAATAAGTTTCACTTTACCTTCAGTTTTGAAAACAAAGGTTTTAGTGAAAATGCATAAATGGGCACTGGATAAATGAGACTTAAGGGCCGTACCACTGAGCAAGCTTGACAGAGCCAGGCTTTCTTTGCCTGAGCTGGCTTGACAAACCCTAAAGCTCTAGTCAGAGATAATGGGTCTCACAATGGTGGTTATCAGCTTGCTCATTTAACGTAGGCTTACTTCTTCATTTACATATACTGACACAAAGTGCATTTACGTGGACATGAATAACCCACCGTATGATTGGGAGTACTCTAAAAGAAACCAGGATGTATACGGGGAATATAATTAACCTGATTTCTCTGTGCTCATGTAAACGCCATATCCTGAATATGTACACAACCGTGATAATCCTCATAAACAGGTTACACATGTCCATGTAATCACACTCACTTTCCCACAATAAACAACAGGTGGAAATCCCTTTAGTTTTAGGCCAAGTGAAAGTCAAATGAATGGTAATAATGGAATATTATCCGTTGGAAATGTCAAGAGACTAATCAATTTTCTAATCTGTGTTCTATTAGCTGTAATATACCAGCAGTGTAAAACGGGACCAAGCACTAAAACGTAATTCTTAACGTTATGGTATAGATTGAAGGAATTATACCTCATTTCATATTCAAGTAAACATACTGATTAATCATATAGTAAAATATCGATGTATAATGCTAGGCTGTAGATTTTTATAGAAGGCTTCACCCTGAAGTTGTCGAAATCCGGCGCTTGGGCAGTGACTTGCAGCGTTAGACACTGACGAAAAATGCCATTCTTAAACTTTGGCATGATACGTGGCTGGTCACTGTTATAGATTAATGGTGCTCGGCGGTGTCAGGGGAAAAACGTGGAAAGACAAGAATCAAAGTTAGGATGGCGGACATCCAATAAACAGACTTTCACCTGGGAGAGTGGTGTTTGCTTCCCATAAGATTATAAAGCCAAACCCTGTTCTTTTTCCCTAAACCCAACCACATGTATTTGTTGCCTAAACCTCACCATGTGCCTTAGTTGTTGGAGGAAAAAGGACAGCAATTCCCGTTGTTGTACTGATGGAATGCATGTATTTTGAAAGAGACAGTATGCAAACGTTCGGAAGTGTATCTTGAAAGAAGAATGTGTTGGTGCAGTGTAAGTTACCGAAAACCATCTTCGTAAGATGGAAAACCTGGTTTTAAATTCAACATACCTCACAAACACCCTAACCTGGCTTCATGGTAGGCCTACACCCCTCTGAGTTATACTGAGTTGTGTGAGAGCTTGTAAACGGATGTTTTGGGTTAGTTTTGCTGTTGTTAAACCTGGACCCCAATCACTTTAGTTCATCAGGAATTTTCTCAGGTTTTTTTGGATTCTTCATTCACCGGAAGTTCGTGAGAAAAAAGTTTCCTTAATGAATTCTTCAACCTAACATGGGGTGAGTGATTGATAAATGATTATTAGGGGGGTGAAGTTCTCCTTTAATTAACTCAATTACGTACAGGGTCTTGTCGCGCCCGTCCCCTGTTCTCGCGATGTTTGCTAGTTAGTGACAGTTGAGAGAATGTCGACGTTTCGACCGTTAGCCTGCTGTTATTGCAGTTATCTGAGTTAACACGTAAACCTGGAGAGGATGAGCATACATGTTAAACTGCCAGACGCCAGCATGTAAAGCTTAAAGCTCTAAGAGGCTGTAGACATGAATTAAAACCCAGTGAAGATATATCTAGAACTGACGAGGATAAAATGTCTTACCTACAGAAATACCTGCTGCTCAGACGAGGAGGACAGAACTCCAGGGAGTCTACTAGTGTCAGGTGAGAGGAGAACAACTTATATTTTGCACTAAAAGGTAAAAAATATTACACTTTTTCTCACTTAAAAACGAAATAAGAATGAAAGCTATTTATGAATTTTCTTTAGACTTAACACACTTAACATTTGAGAGCTCCAGATGTCTTTTAAATGCCCTGAACAGCCTGTTTGGATCCAAAATGGCGTCAGAAAAGACCCAGGAGAGCTTAACCTGCGAAATAACTACGACATATCATTAGCCAGGATAAAAACAATAAATTATCTCCACTATTTAAAGCAGTACCTATGTAGAGTAATGCACAAGTCCTGGTATTGTGCATGCTGGCCGAGGCCTAAGGGAGCCATAGTTAATGTTTCCATACCGAACAAACATTTAAATGCAACACTTTTGTTTTTGCTCCCACTGTTCACAGGTTAAAGAGAAATATGAGACTTTTAATGCACTCAGTAGATATATTTTTGTTAAATTTTGGTCTTAAATTTGTTCAAATCTGTCCTCCCACTTCTCCTTTTCCAAGATAATCCACCTACCTGACAGGTGTGGCATATCAAGATGTTGATTACCAAGCATCATTACTACTCAGGTGTGTTTTGGGATGGTCGCACTAAGGGTGTTTTAACATGTACTCTGTAGTCCTTTTTAAACAAACCAAACTCAGTCCTCATAAAGCAGATGAAAATGTGGACCAACAGAAAAGGGACTCAGTTCTTTTTGTGTTCACATTGTCAGTTCATTTGAAAGAGGACTCGGTTCTCTTTCTGGTCAACTTCAGCTCTGACGGGGCTTCAGTCCTCTTTCTGTTCAAACTATAGCCTATATATGTATAATATGTATTGACATAGTTTTGTTTTTACTTTGATGTGGCACTGCAGTGTAGTAGTGAAGCCATTCGGTTTCAGATAAACTTAATTGGAGTAAAACCGGAGTGTTTCTGTGTTGTAGACTGTTGCCCTTTGCTGTACTGGACATTCCACATCTGGAGACGTGCAGTATCTTCTGTGGACCAAACTACTCCTCATCCTGCATCCTTGCAAGCGTTACAGGCAGACGTGGTTTCGTCTGTTTTTTCAAGCTTCCCAGTGCAATGGCATGTGCAAAGGGAACCTGGAACGCTCTGTGTTCACAATGCACAGGTTAAACGAATCGCACCGCGAACTTGAAGCGAACTGAATGAGTTTGGTTCGCTTCAGAGGGATCCGAGTTCTCTCGGAGTGTTTACATATGCCCAAAAATGCTGAGTCACCGCTCTGAGGCCGCTTAGAGGGCTGAAAAGGACCAAGTGTGGAGTGTGTTCAGATCAAAAATTTCCCTTGTGGTTGGGGCTGCAGTTTGTGTCCCAGATGACCGCATCCCCAGTACCTTAAGTCCTAGGCTCTGTTTGTTAGGCATGTTGCCAGACAGTTGTATCCTGCCTGGGAAAGAGAAAATGATGGTTGAAATATGTTTCCTACAGGCAAGGCGCTCAATTATGCTCTGCTGGAAGAATGTGTGTTGCCCCTCTCTTGGCCGTCGGTTGAAAGATGGAACAGCGAGTTTGGCTCTTGAAAAACTTACCTATATAGTGAGAGATAAAGCTTCTTAGCTTATTGATATTTGGGAAATATTTTGGTATTTGTAAAAAATGGTGACATTAAAGATGCTTTGGAAATGTAAGGCTTAGATTAAGGATGCAAATATGCACTTTGATCACACAACACAATGCCACATGTGTCACAAGTTTTGAGGGAGCATGCCAATGGCATGCTGACAGCAGGAATGTCCACCAGAGCTGTTTCCTGTGAACTGATTGTTCATTTCAGTCGTCCAGTGTTGTTTCCGTAAATTTGGCAGTACATCCAATCGACCTCACAACTGCAGGCCACATGGAGACACACCAGTTCAGGACCTCCATATCCAGCATCTTCACCAACAAGAGCATCTGAGACCAGTCGGATACTGTCTCAGGGAAGCTTATCTGCATGCTCAGCAGCGTCTTGACCTGACATTGTAACCGGCTTGTGCCATTTTGAGGCCGGTTGGATGTACTGCCAAATTAAAGGAAACGTCATTGGAGATGTCCTGAGGTAGTGAAATGAACATTCAGTTCACGGCCAACAGCTGTGGTGGACATTCCTGCAGTCAGCATGCCAATAGCACGCTCCCCCCACATCTGTGGCACAGTGTTGTGAAATCAAACTGCACAATTTAGAGTGGACTTTTATTGTGATCATCCCAAAGCACACCTGTGTTGTAAGGAAATAAATGAAATAAAGAAAACAGTGAGCAGCACAGTGCAGGGCGATTAAGAGAAAACTGTTGTATCAGTTAATCACCGAGAAAACATCACTCTCAAGACGGCTAAATGTGTCTGACTGGCTATTCCTGCATTTCTGCTCTGAGCACACGCAACAATTTGGACTGCTCATGTTGTCAACTGTATATTTTCCCAGTTACTTTTCCAACATGTAGTTCTAAATGCTGTTTCAAAGACTTTCCCCCTCAAGCAAGAATAAAGTGTCAGTGGATAAATACTGCATTATTTATGTATTTATTTATGGTGTAAAAGTTGGTAATACATTGAGTCCAGAACTGCTCGACTGATGCAGTTCAAGACCCACCATGTGTGTGTTTTTCATTGTAGAATGTAAAACTCCCACTGGGTTGCAAAAAAACTCCCAGAAAAAAAAAAGTGTCCTCAATGGCAGCTATGTCCCTGACTGAGGTGTGTCCATGCATGTGCAGGGTATGTCAGTATTATTTTTACTAATATTATTATGATATTCTTAAGTCTGATGCAATGATCAACGATCAATTTTTGCCTTTTCTGCATCAATCTATGGTAGAAATGCCTTTAATTTTGTCAAAAGTGTTCTGCTGCTTTCATGTTTTTTGGGGCATGGGCAAATGCACATGTTCTAAATATTAAGGGAGAGTTGTCCCCTGCTTCTGTGGCTCAAAGGTAGAGCGGGTCATCCACAAATCAGAGGATCGGCGGTTCAATCCCCAGCTCCTCCAGTCCGCATGTTGAAGTATCCTTGAGCAGGATACTGAACCCCAAATTGCTCCTGATGGCTGTTCAGGCAGTGTGTGAGAGCTTGTGAATGGTTACTGAGTAGCAGGTGGCATCACGTAGGGTCGTCTCAGCCACCAGTGTGTGAATGGGTGAATGTGACGTAGTGTAAAAGTGCTTTAAGTGGTCGAAAGTCTTTACCAAAAAAAAAAGCATTTTCTTAATTTTATACATATGGTGGTGGTGTGTTCTTCATATTATGACAGTTTTCCAATAATTAAATTTAAAAAAAGTAATGCATCGCTTTGTTTACAAAATGCAATATATTGAATCCTAACTCTTGTATCATGATATTTTATCGACAGTTTATTGCCAGTACACAATGCTAATGGACACTGTTAAAATCCTTGTTCAGGCTTGGTCTTGGGAGACGTCTTGGTTGGCATGGACTGGATTTAGCCTGTGCTGCATACAGCCCTGCTAGTGACAAGCATCCATTGCTTTGGCTCATGTTAAGATAAGATGGGAAGTTTTAGTATGTGTGGTCTATTGGGAGCAGTGTTGATTGTATATTCTGACAGCCGCAGGAAGGAAGGACGTGCGGCATGTCTCCTTCAAACACGTGCCTGTCACTGAAGGAGCTGCCCAGTGTCCTGCATGGGGTGGGACGAGCTGTCCATAAGAGATGATAGCTTTGCTATCGAGGGAGCATCCCAGGACGGAGCTGGCCTTCTTAATCAGTATGTTGAGTCTCTTCCTGTCAGCTGTCAAGATGCTGCTCCATAAAGGATGATGCCACCACAGAGTCAAAGATGGTTCTCAGGAGTCTCCTTAGCAAATAGAGTCTGCTCCGTCCTCTCATGTATAGTGCATTAGTGTTGTCTGTCCAGTCCAGATTGTTGTTCAGGTGAATACCCAGGTAGTTGTAAGATATCACCATTTACATTACCCTTATAAATACCTTTTATATTAAAGATAGATAGTGTTTTTTTTTTCCTGGAGGGAGATTTGTTTTTGCCGTCTACACATTTCATGCACGAAAACACACAGAAGAGACTTTGTTGTTGCAGCAGGACATGCACTGAAATGAACATGCATTATTGAGCTTATCATTCAATACCCACTGTCAATAATATAAAGTTACAGTTACAGAGCCAACTGCCTTCTTTTAAACCACTCACTCATACCTGCACATGAGTCTATATTAACGCAGCTGTATGATCACATCCTGATAGACATATCCTGGTAATTCACCAGAGGGCAGTCTTGCCACACTAAAAACAACAGATCCATCCTGTCAGACTGAACCTATTAATTAAATAATAAACCTTTAGGAGTCAGCAGTGGTTATCAAGCAATAGTTTTCAAGGTTTGCACACATTATACTGAAATATAAAGATATCACTGCTGTAGAAGTTACAGTGTGATTTACAGTGTTTATGAACAATAAGATGTTGCAAGTGGAAATTATTTTTTACATTCACTTTTAAGGTACTTCCCTGCCTCTATAAACAGTGCTTCACTATGGAGCAAACAGCCAGAATGAGCATGTACACATGAAAGAATTGCCAAGGAATTAAATATTGATGTACTAAATAGGTAATATTATATACAACACAAAGTGTTGGATAATGTTTAGTAAATGTTTAATCTTTTATGTGAAGAGGTTTGACTGACTTGCATCCACAAGTCTTTGTCGGTGTTGTGGAGGCATTTATGAAGCACTCTGCAGCAGTTTGTTGTGTTGCTGCAGTTTCCCGATGCTGTGAGAGATGCCTGAAGCAAGTGAGGGTGAAATCACAGAGCAGTTTTGTTTTCACTGGCATTGCCGCTGCGCTTCCATCTCCAAGCACACAAACTAAGACTCCTTGCAAACTGCAGGAAAATGGTGCTGAGGAGGAGACAGAAGGAATTGAGAGAAATGTATTTATTCTCTGCTCAGTGTGAAGACAGGACAGGGGAGAACTCCAGGGTTGTTCAGTTAAACGAAACATGCTGAGCTTGTTGTAATATGTGCGCTGCAATCGTTTTCCACCTTGGAGAGGACCTGCTGATGAGATTCATTTTGTAATTAGACACAAGCTCTCATGCTGCAAAGTTCATTAACATGTTGATGCTTTTCCAATATATCAAACAGACTGAGCTGATGAAGTTGTGAATGTGAGACAGAACAATGTAAACAGCAGATCCATCTGGAGACACTTCATCATCAAATGGATCTGTTGATCCTGCAAGTTTAACACAGAGTCATGACCTCAAGTCAGACATACAGGAAATAACTGAGTTCATGTTGACAAGGGACTTTATACATATTTTTTAAACAAGACGTTAAAGGCAAAGATCACCCCAGAATCAAAAATACATATTTTGCTGTAGTGCTGTTTATAATTTAGATTGTTTTGGTGTGAGTTGCCGAATGTTGGAGATATCAGCCATAGAGATGTCTGTCTTCACTCCAGTATAATGGAACTAGATGGGACTTGGCTCGTGGTGCTCAAAGCGCCAAAGAAGTATGTATGAAAAACCACAAAACAACAATGTCTCTTTCCAGAAGTTAGGTCAGGCGGATGCTACAGGATGCCCAAATTTAAACTGAATCGTCTTAAAAATTCATTTGTGCCAACCTCAATACAGATTTTAAAGGAGCTATATGTAAGAAATATAAAGCAAATAGTCATAAAATCCTCCTAATATGTCACAGAGACTAAGGAATAATGTTCATATAACATACTGATCTCACCGACAACAATAGTACAGCCAGAATATTTGCATTAAAAAAAATATTTTACAGTCCGCAAATCATGTTTATGTTTTGAATTTGTGTTTTGGCCTGTTGCGCCACCCACCGCCGTCTACCAGTCAAACAGTCAGTAGAGTCTCAGCATCAGTTACAGTTACGACTGAGCTACAGCAGCACGGCAAGCAGCATTAGCAGTGTCCCGGTACATAGCGTTAGCAGCTGGCTCCTCATGAGCTGTATCCAGGCAGCAGCGTTAGCAGCAGAGAAGCCGGACTTGCTCGAACGGTCCGCTGGAAAACCGAAGATCAAGGACGCGGTGACGAGGCCCTGCCACGGCAGCCGCCCGTA